CTCTTGGTCTTTGTATGTACCCATTCCAGTTGGGTAGAGGCTTAACCTATTCTGGTTGGGTAGAAGGCCCGAGAAGTAGCCAGACTGTTCCTCTGAGAAATTGTTCCACGATTTGGCCTACCAATTACCATTGGCTCAGATAATGGGCCAGCCTTTGTAGCAGAAATAGTGCAGCTACTAGCCAAGAATTTAAATATTAAATGGAAGTTGCATACCGCCTATCAACCACAGAGTTTGGGACAGGTGGAACACATGAACAGGACCCTTAAGACTCCGTTGGGAAAACTATGTCAGGAAACACATCTACACTGGGACGAAGTCCTCCTATGGCACTATTAATCAGGTCGGCCTCAACCAAAAAGACTGGGTTCTCCCCCTTCGAGATCCTGTATGGACTGCCACCAGCACTCGTCAAAGGACTACAAAGAGACCTCAAGGAAATAGGTGAATTGACTCTGAGAACAGCTTCAGGCCCTAGGGACCACCTTCCAGACTCTCAACCAATAGGTCAGGGAAAGGCTCCCTGTCAGTTTAACCACCGAAATTTGTTCCTTTAAGCCAGGAGACTCTGTCTGGGTGAAAGAATGGAACATTCAGCCCCTACAATCCCTCTGGAGAGGCCCCTTTTCTGTCATTTTGTCTACCCCCGCTGCAGTTAAAGTTGCTGAAACAACTTCCTGGATCCATCACAGCAGACTTAAACCCACAGCCGCAGAGTGGGAATGTGTTCCAGCCTCTTCTGAGCCCATCAAGGCACCCTCTGGAAGAAAATACCTGCTGTGACGACACACCAAGGGTAACGTCAGCCTCGCTTTGGTCACACTGGAAGCTGACCAACCTACGCACGGCAGAAGCCTGAGGACGATGTCTCGTCAGGATGGGACCCCTAAAGACTCTTTTCCTTCTCCTCATTCTCCGCTATATGTATGGCGCCAGTCTCCCCACTTCTTCTTCCCCTTGTACTCATTGCATGCAAAGGAAAAGGATAGGGTCCAACATTGCCACCGGCTTCACTTCCGTAACTGGCCTGCCCGAAAGGTGTGCCATAAACACCACACTCCGCACTCATTGGAGATTCCAATATTGGATGGGGTACATAAAGGTTAAATCTGAGAGTGGCCAATCCTACCAAGAGCCTGAAAAATTAGGGGAAACTTGGGTGTGTTAGCGATGGACTTCAAGTAGGAGAAAGTTCCATAACCATGCAGAGGGCCCATCAGTCGGAGAAATTGTCCAATGGCTGCATAATTAAACCACACTTAAGCCTACACTATTTCCTAGGCCCCAAAGCCCACAAATATATGATAAGCTAAAGGCTGCCTTGAGCCAAAACCTAAACCTTCCAACCCTAGGGAAGAACCTCTTTGTTGACCTAGCTGAGAAGATAGCCCATGAACTTGGTGTCACTAAATGCTGAGTTTGTGGAGGAGCACTCATGAGTGAACATTGGCCTTGGAAGAGAACTAGTCTGGATGCCTATTACCTCCTCCAGTGGAACCGCACGGTGGCTCGCCGTGAAGAGGGTCGACCCCAGAGCTAGGTCCTCTCTTCAGAAGTGGTAGGGGAAGAATGTCTTGGCCAGATGGGTCCAGGATACACTCAGTGGGTTGGAGAAACTCCACGTAAAAGAATGCTATTTTTAAATCACACAGACCAAAACAGGTGGCCCAAGGCTCATTCCTGGTATTGGGCCAATAATACTGCAGCAAAAGTCCTCATGCTATGGAGGTAACAACCTCTAAACCAAAAATTAGAAGGAGATGATGCTCTCTGACCCAGTCCTGGGTCCGAGCATCAAAGGGGGGAATGTGGCAGCCTGATCCTGCCTGGCCACTTCCTGCTCGAACAAGTTTGTTCCTGACTGCCCCCCAACCTCAAGGACTCTCCAGCTAACATCAGTTTTCCCACAGTTTGCCAATCAGTGTTCTTCCTTATATCTGTAGCTGTGTGGGAATGACAAGACTGTATAAAACTGCTCATTATGTTACAATCGGGGCTCAGCCTTTGGATAAGAATCCGCAGAGCCGGTGCTGGCATCAATAAACGCTGCCTCCTGTTTATAGCCTCGGTGTCCCATCTCTCCTTTCGAGAATCCCGCAACAAACAAGGGTAACATTTCTTAGCCCATTCCCTGGCACACACTGGTGCTTACTCCTGGTTACAGGCTCTCTTCTTTCCTTCCTGAATAAACTGAGAGTCATCAGATAAGGTACAAGGTCACAGACATTGTTTTCTCCAGGGATGAGAGGTAAGTTCTGAGTGAAGATGGGAAGCTCCTGAGGCTCTGCATCTCCCTGACACCTTGCTTCTTGTTCCACTGCCTCTGACTTTACCTCTTCAAAAGTATAGTCACACTCCACTGTCCCCTGGGCCACAACTCTCCCCCTCCAGATGACCTCACCTTGCATTTCTCCTCCGATTTCTGGGAATCCTTCCTGGAGCTTTTCGCGAAGGAGCTGCCTCTGTTCATGGCGGTGGGATTGGTCTGAACTGGATGGGACACAGCCTGAGTCTTTCCAGTCCTAAGGCCTAGGATCCTGCGGGTAGGGTGGAGAGAAAGCACTGAGGGAAGGTCTCACTCAGACTGTCACCTGAAAGGAAGGTTCTGCTTTGTTACAGCCTTGGCTTGTCCCTCCCTGAGGAAGAACGGGGTGGGGAGGGACTGGAGGAGGGGAATAGGGGTGCGGTCAGAGGAGAACAGGGCCCAGAGGTCTCTGGGAGAAGGACTGATTAGGAAGACAGCTTTTCTGTGGGCATGGTCATAGAAGCCTTGAGTCTTTGAGGGGGGTTGGCTGCTGTTGTTAGCAGTTAAGCCTGGGGTTTGGCTTATCCTGAAGGAAACATAAAAACCTTTGCTGGGGATGCAGTCACAAGCAGGTGTAGTTCTACTGATGGGGTGGGGGGTGTTTTCACTCAAGAAGGGAGGTGGGAGGAAAGGCCCAGAGATCCTATGTTTTGGGTTTTCAGGAAGAGGGATGTGGGGTTTTTCTCTGTTGAAAAGAAATGAGGATCGCTAATATGAGTGGATTTAGAGGCTAGTTCTTGGTTATTTGATAATTATTAGAGTAAAGAGAGCTGGAATCTCTGAGAATACAGGTCCAGCCACCACTCCGGCTGAGAATGTGGGGAGTTTTAATGCAGCAATCTGCTGCTCCCCAAACTGAGGGCAGAGGGCGTCTCTCAGGGAGAGGATATTTCGGGCTTTGTGCGGCCACAAAGATTGGTGCTTTATCCCAGAGGAGGCAATGAAGGAGTCCATTAGGCACAGGCTATTATTTCTGGTTGAGGAAATCTAGGGGCGTCTGGTAGAACTGGGGATTTCTCAGGCTGAGGGGGTTTTGCCTCCCTGAGGAAGAGCAGCTAGGCAGTCTTACAGACTGACGATAGTTTTAGTTTTAACTCTGCCTGAAAGAGATCAACCGCGGACGGCTTTCGATCGTCCCTCAAGCCTACGGTTCTTGAGGATTATCAGGAGGCACAGCGAAGACCCAACCGCTTGAGCAATCTGCAGAGGCCCCCAGCTTTTCCACCTGCCCCCACCCCTGTCCCTTAACCTGTCCAGGGTAACCCTTAGAGAGAACGTACCTCAGAAATGAAGCAGTTGTGAACTTCGGTCGATCCATGCGGAGAAGAAAACCCGCGCGGTTCAGTTACCCGAGGACCTTTGACCGGTCGGAAGAGTTAGTGAGCTTGACCTGGCCAACGGAAGTCAGGCTAGTAGAGGGGGGGCTTGAGGCAGGGGTAGAGTCTATCATCCAGGCTCCAGAGCCAGGAATGTCTTATTAAAGTGGGTGGAGACAATGATTTTCCCGCATGAAGCAAGGTTTCCCTCCGCCAGAATTGACCACTCCCATTTCCGTGGTTTCATCAGCAGGCATGCTCCATGTTCCCTTTCACTCGGCTTACTTTTTCCTTTCCGTCTGCTGTGCACTTGTTGTCTAGTTTTAATAAGTGGACTATATGTGGGGCACCGTCATGTCGTATCCTTCCGATCCGTCGCCTACTTACGCAGTTATGAGGTCTCTCCTAGGACCTCCTGGGACCTCTCTTATAAGTTAAAATTTTTAAACTGGTTTTTTTTTTTTTTAATTTCTTTGCCATTCCTTATTCTTAGGTCGTATTTATGATGTCTGGGATAAATCGATCTTTATCCCAGAAAGCATACTGCAAGTAAATGGGCTGTGGCGATCGCATCGTTACGAGCATGATTGTGATTCTACAAGTGGTAAGAAATTTTTATTTTAATATCCTTTAAAACTAAGGTTATATGACATTGAAAATGTTTGAAATGGCTTACTTCTGTTGGTGTACAGTGGGAAATGTTGAGCAGATATGGTTGTTTATTTTGACCTTGTTTCTTCAAATACCTTTCTAAAAAATTGCCCAGAGCACAGTTTTCTGTCATCCATTTTAGGGATCCATTCTGTCTTCCACACACTACCTGATTGGAAAGTTAGCAGTGATTTATTATTCAAGGAAAGAATACTTTTTAAAAATCAGTACATATTTAGTACAACACTGTGCCTAAATCTTCAAAGTGCCAAATGCCTGCCAAATGCCAATATGCATAACATTATGCAAGGGCAATAATTGGTTGGTACATGCTTACAAAACCTATCAGTTATTCACTTAACAGTGATTGTAATTACTATTATCTGTAAAGTCATTAATCGGCTTTTCAATATTGCATGTGTGTTTTCTAGGGATTTTCACACAGCCTCAGTAACTGAGCATCCAGGCTTTGGACGATGCCATCTCAGATAAAAGGACAGTGTTCCTGAAATACCACAATTTTCCTTTAGACTTCTAAAAAATTTTTTTTTCAATTAGAGTTGACATTCATTATTATTTTATATTAGTTTCAGGTGTACAGCATAGTGGTTAGACATTTACATAATTTATGAAACGATATCCTCTATTAATCTAGTACCCACCTGGCACTATGGATAGCTATTAAAATATTTCTGACTATATTCCCCATGCTGTACTTCACATCCCCGTGACTATTTTGTAACTATCCATTTCAACTTATTATTTCCTTCACCATTTCCACTCACCCACTCAACGCCCCTCCTATCTGACAATCACCAATATGTTCTTTGGATCTATTAGTCTATTTTTATTCTGTTTGTTTATTTATTTTGTTCTTTAGATCCCACATATAAGCGAAAACATATGGTATTTTTCTTTCTCTGACTTATTTCACTTAGCATAATACCCTCTGGGTCCATCCGTGTCGCTGCAAATGGCAAGATTTATATATTTTTTATAACTGATTAATAGTCCATTGTATATATCTACCACTTCTTGTTTATCCAATCATCTATTGATGGGCACTTAGGTTGATTCCATATCTTGGCTTTTTAAATAGCGCTGAAGTGAACACAGGGGTGCGTACATCTTTTTGAATTAGTGTTTTGTTTTTATTTCAGGTAAATACTCAGAAGGGCTATTGCTGGGTCATAAGGTAGTTCTATTTCTAATTTTTCAAGAAACCTCCAAACTGTTTTCCACAGTATCTGCAGCAATTTTCAGTCCTACCAATAGTGCACGAGGGTTCATTTTCTCCACATCCTTGCCAACACTTGTTGTTTTTTGATTTATTGATGATAGTCATTCTGACAGGTGTGAGGTGATATCATATTGTGGTTTTGTTTGCATTTCTCTGATTATTAGTGACATTGAACATCCTTTCATATGTCTATTGGCCATCTGTATGTCCCCTTTAGGAAAATGCTTATTCAGGTCTCCTGCCCATTTTTAAATTAAATTGTTTGTGTTTTTTGGTGTTTTTATGAGTTCTTATATGTTTTGGATATTAACCCCTTATCAGATATATCGTAGACAAATGTCTTCTCCCACTCAGTAAGTTGTCTTTTCGTTTTGCTGCTGAGTATCAGTATATACTATATGATAGTATATACTATCCCACTCAGTAAGTTGTCTTTTCGTTTTGCTGCTGGTTCCCTTGGCCATGCAAAAACTCTTTAGTTTGATGTAGTCCCATTTGTTTATTTTTATTTTGTCTCCCTTGCCTGAGAAGATATATCAGGAAAAATATTACTAAGAACAATGTCAGAGAATTTATTGTCTCTGTTTTCCTCTAGGAGTGTTATGGTTTCGGGTCTTACATTTAAGTTTTAAACCATTATGAGTTTATTCTTGTATGTAGTGTAAGAAGGTGGTCCAGTTTCATTTGTTTTCATGTATCGGTCCCATTTTTCCAACAATAATTATTGAAGAGACTCTCTTTACCTATTGAATATTCTTGCCTTCTTTGTCGTAGACTGATTTATTTCTGGGCTCTCTATTCTGTTCCACTGAACTATGTGTCTGTTTTCATGTTAGCAACATGCTGCTTTCATTACTATAGACTTGTAGTATATACTGATATCAGGTAGCATGATACCTCCAACTTTCTCCTTCTTCCTCAAGATTGTTTAATGGGCCTTTGTGGTTCAGCATAAACTTTGGGATTATTCGTTTTCATTCTGTGAAAAATGCCATTGGTATTTTGATAGGGATTACATTGAATCTGTAGATTGCTTTGGGTAGTTTGGACATTTCAACAATGTGAATTCTTCCTATCTGTGAGCACTACTATATCTTCCCATTTATTTGTATCTTCTTCAGGTTCTTCAATGTTATAGTTTTTTGTGTACAGGTCTTTTACCTCTTTAGTTAATTTTATTCCCAGGTTTTTTATTCTTTTCGATGCAAATGTAAATGGGATTCTCTTAATTTCTCTTTCTGGTAGTTTGTTACTGGTATATAAAAATGCAACTGATTTCTGAATATTAATTTTGAATCCTGCTAGTCTACCGAATTCATTTATTAGTTCTAATGGGTTTGTGGTGGAATTTTTAGGGTTCTCTCTCTATAGTATCATATCATCTGCAAATAATGACAGTTTTACTTCTTCCTTTCCAATTTGGATATCTTTGATTTCTTTTCTTTGTTTGCTGTGGTTAGGGCTTCCAATACTACATTGCATAGAAGTGGTGAAAGTGAACATCTTGTCTTGTTTCTGATCTTAAAGAAAAAGCTTTCAGCTTTTCACTGTTGAGTATGATGTTAGCTATCGGTTTGTCATATATGGCTTTTATTATGTTGAGATGTGTTCCCTGTATCCTTGTTGGTGGGACTGATCTTCCGGCTGACCGGCTATGAGGGCTATTCATGACTACAGCAGACAAACTGTTGTTCGGGGACTGACTCCATGAAGCAGGAGTCACTTTTGGGGTTCTGGTGCCAGCTGAGTCTGCCCGTCGAGTGTGTCATATAGGGAGTTGGATGAGTGGTGCTCTGATGTGGTCTGAAGCTGGCTCCTGGGTTTGTTGGCTCTGGAGCTTCCAGGGAGGGCCTCTGATGCAGATCAATGTCAGCTGCTGCTTCTGCCTGGCTTGGAGCCTCCTCATAGGAGCTACAAAGTGATGTGTGGTTGATTGCCCCTTGTGCTGTTCTGGGAGG